AGCATTCGGCCAAGAAATCCGCTAGGGCTTGAGCCTTAATGGCAGCCCTCGGACGGTAGCTGATGCTGAATTCGGTGAGCTCAAAAGCCCACTTGGCTAGCCTACCAGATTTTTCAACCTTGCCGAGAACTTTTTCCAACGGCTGATCAGTTAAGACCACTATTTGATGGGAATCAAAATAGGGCCTCAGCTTCCGAGCAGCTACTACTACCGCGAAAGCAACTTTCTCGAGTAGAGGATAGCGAGTCTCGGCATCCGTCAGTGTATGACTGACGAAGTAGATCGATTGCTGACTCTTACCCTCTTCCTTCAGCAATACTGCGCTGATGGTGGCTGGGCTAACGGCCACATATAGGTACAAAGTTTCTCCTTCAGCTGGGCTAGCCAGCGTTGGGAGTTGAGCCAGATGCTCCCGAAGCTGTTTAAAGGCGTCTTTTTGCTCTTCCTCCCAAACGAGCTCTTTTGTTTTCGGGAGTTTTAGGGCTTTGAAGAAAGGTAACCCCTTATCCGAAGCTCTGGAAATGAACCTCGAGAGGGCTTCCATTCTTCCGGTGAGCCGCTGAACATCCCGCTTCGTTTTCGGCTCAGGAAGGTCGAGCGCCGCTTTGACTTTAGAGGGATTGACATCAATCCCCCTTTTGCTGACCATGAACCCCAGGAATTTCCCTGACTTCACGCCGAAGACACACTTCTTCGGATTCAGCTTCATTTGATGCTTTCTCAAGGTGGCGAAAGTTTCAGCCAGGTCCTTTACATGGTCCTCTACTTTTTTGCTTTTGACGATCGAATCGTCAACATAGACTTCCATGTTTCGGCCCTTTTGATCGGCGAAAACTTGATCCACCAGCCTTTGATAGGTTGCCCCCGCATTTTTCAATCCAAAGGGCATCATTTTGTAATTGTACACCCCAGCGTTTGTGACGAATGCTGTCTTGGCTCGATCGTCGGGGTGCATAAAGATCTGATGATACCCCGAGAATGCGTCCATGAAGCTAAGCAAGGCATGGCCACTTGTCGAATCGACTAGCTGATCGATTCTCGGCAAGGGATAGAAATCCTTTGGACAATCCTTATTTAGGTCCGTGAAGTCAACGCACATCCTCCAGGTACCATTGGGCTTCTGAACCATCACCACATTTGCCAACCATTCTGGATATTGTCAAGGTTCAATGAATCCTGCCTCCAATAATTTTTTGACCTCGGCTGCGATGTCTCGGTTCTTATTGGCGGAGTAATTCCGCTTCTTTTGCTTAACTGGTCGACACGTCGGGTCAACATTAAGCTTATGGGAGATGAGGTCTGAACTTATCCCGGGCATATCAGCTGCCGAGAAAGCAAACACATCTCTGTTATCCCGAAGGAGCTGAATAAGTTCGCAACGGGTGTTCGGATCAAGGTCCATCCCGATTGTTACACATTTCTCAGCGTCTCCTTCGGCCAACTCAACTGTTTCAGTCTGTTGGTCCATGTCCATTGCTGATGGATTGGACTCTTCATTATCTGGCCTGCTGCCAATGTCAGCAGGTGTCCCAGTCTTTTTGTTCTTCGGCTGGCTCTCTGAGTCTTGCGGCTCAGCTGAGGAGCTAGCCTTTTCCCTTTCGGGCCCTTTACCTCTGGGTACAGATCCTTGGGCCGAAGCACTTAGGCCTTTCGGCTTTTTTGTGCTTGGCTCTCTTTCTTTTTCTTTCTCCTCCTCATCCTTGTCGTCATCTGGGCGACTACTGGATGGCTTGAGGTAGTTGCACCTTCGGGCGTCCTTTTGGTTGCCCTGTATCCTTTCGGGGAAGCCGGCGTCTGAGACGTAAATCATCAGCTGATGATAAGTTGAGACGACCCCTTGGATCTCGTGAATTATGGGTCTCCCCAAAATCACGTTGTACACTGAAGGAGCGTCGATGACCAAAAATTCAATCATGACGTTCCGGGCTGCCTCATCGCATTCGATGGTGACAGGAAGTGTCACCTTCCCATCTGGATAAGTTGAAGCCCCATTGAAGCCGGATACCGGATAGGGTACCGGCGTAAGGTGCTTGGGCTTCAGCTTAATTTGATTGTAGGCCTTTCGGAACAGAATGTTTGCTCCACTGCCACCGTCAACAAGGACCTTACTGACGTCGTGGTTGGCCACCGTGGCGATGATCACCAACGGATCCTCGTGAGGGAACGTAATCCCCCGGCAGTCGGCGGCTGTGAACGTCATGTTCGGCACCGGCGACTGGGGAGATTGAATGTCAGCGTTGTTCACCTGGTGAGTCAAAGCTCTAAGGTGGCGCTTGTGCTCCCTCCGAGAGTATATTCCTCCCGAGATAACATTGATCGGAGGGAATTTCCCCTCCGGCTTTTTACTGTTTTTCCGGGGGAAATCAAGGTCCTGCCGAGGGTCCTTTGCTGACCTCTCGGATTCTTTTTTCTCGCGGTGATCCGCGATGTATTTTTTCAAGTATCCCTTCCGGACCATGTCCTCTATCTGGTCCTTCAGTTGGATACACTCCTCAGTGTTGTGGCCCGAAGACTCGTGGAACTCACACCACTGATTTTTATTTTTTCGCTGATACCACTCTGGGAGTGGTCTCGGCTTTCGCTAACTCTGCTCCTCCTTCGTCACACTGTAAATTTTGGCGCGTGGAAGAGAGAGCGGAGTGTAGGACTCGTATCTGCCTGTGTATGAGGCAAATCTTTCCTTCTTTGGGTCGTTGGCCAAAGATTGCTCCGGGGCCTTTGACTTTCCCTTTGCCTTATGGCCTTGGCCTTCAGACAAGGGTATTTGCCTCTGTTTCCCTCCCCCGGATTGAGGTTGGGTTTTCGCTTTGTTCCATTCTTCGGCTCGGATGAACTTATCCGAAGCACTAAGAGCGTCCTCCAAAGTCTGCGGGGTATGCATGACCATGAAGTCTAGGAACTTTCCTGGCTGAAGGCCATTCTGAATTGCGAAAACGGCTAGCCCCTGGTCCAGCTGGGAGACGCTTGATGACTCGTTACTGAAACGGGTCAGGTAGTCTCGGAGGCTTTCGGTTTCCCCCTGTTGCAGACTCATGAGCTCTGCGGTAGTCTTCTCTCGGCGGTTTGCCGTGGAAAACTTGCTCCTGAACTTGGAGGACAAATCATCCCACCCTGTTACGGAGCCTTGCCTTACTCCCTTGGAGATCCACGCTTGCGCGACCCCCTTGAGAGTGGTTGGGAAATATTTGCACCAAGCCGCCTCGGATCTGGGGCAAAGATGCATATGAGTCTCATACGAGGCCACGTGGTCCTTCGGATCCGTGGTCCCGTCATATGTGATGTGCGAAGGGATTTTAACCGTGGGTACGCGCTCTTCCAGTATCCATTGCTCGAATGGTGAACTAGCGGGTAGCATAACGGCCTTGCCCTTGTTCCTGGCCGAAGGGACCGCGCTCCGCCCTCTTAGAGAGGTAGGAGTGGTTTTCGTCCCTGGCTGGGAAGTCTGGGCCTCGGCTGCAGGGAACGAGAGGCGACTACGCACGCTCGGTTCCTGGCCGCCGAGTCGGTCAAGGACGCTTCTGCGAACAGTCTCAGGTTCTCGGTGAGTAGATTCTGGCCGAGAAGCTGAGCTGCTGCTCTTATGCGCTTCTGGTCTTGAGGATGAGGATCCTTTTAAAAATTGAGGGTTCTTTTTCCTCTGTTTTTCATTTTTCCAAGAATCCTCCTCCCACTCTTCCAGTTCCCGGAAGGAAGGAAGCTTCCCACCATCATGGTCTAACTTCCTCCGCTGATGCCGGGTATGCGGAGGAGTTCGATCACGAGGTGGTGGCATATTTTGTGCCCTCATCGCCTCCATGAGTACTGCCAGCGCTCTTGCCACCTCTTCCGAGCTGGGCCCCGTCAAAGGGGTCCTCGGCCGAGTGTGGGAATGAGGGCGCGCAGCCGATGGTTGGCTTTGGGACACTGAATATGTCCTATGATCGGACTGACCCCTGCTAGACCGAGAGTGACCCGGCCTATATTGAGAGTCATGAATTACGGGAGATAGGGAATCCTCCTTGTATGATCCTCCCCCCGAGCCGGCACCCTTGGGAGAGTTCCGGTCCGGCGAGGGCGATGGTGTAGGGGTTTTAGGCTTTTCGCCCGCTCCTTGACGGAGGCTTTTGCTCTTGCGGTTCTTAGCCATTGCTGCTAAGATAATTGCAAGATGATCTTGGTTAGGAATTTGGCTTAAAGATTTTTGAAAGTCTTCCCCACAGACGGCGCCAAATTGTTTCGGGTGAAAACAATGGGACCTTGCCGAAGGTCCGCTGAAATGGAGAAGGCTGGATTCGGTCCAAGTTATGTTGGGCCGAAGATTTCCTGCACAGTAAACACACGTAAACTAGCCTCGGGGGTGTTGCCGAGGAAGGCCCCTCCGATGCTAAAGTCAGTACAATGTGTAAGAAGAAGACACTATGCAAGAGAGTTTGTTGCTTGAGGCTTTTTTGGAATATCTCAGAATATATGAATGAACATATGAATCTATGAATGAATCAGAATGAATCTCCCCTTTGAATGTATCAATATGATGGCTTTTATACCTCATCATACATGGAGAGGTTGGGCCTTAGCCCAATTGGCTTGCTTTGTGGGCTGACCTTTGACTTTAGCACAATTGGAGAGTTGAACCTTGACCTTGGGCTTTTAATTGGATCATTTAGTGCTTAGGCCCAATTGGACTAAATTGGACCCAAACACATTGTTTTGGCATAAATTTTGGGCTGTCATATTGTTTGTGAAGTGAGACTAGTGTGGTGGTGGTCTTTAATTCTAAAGTATGATGGGTCTGCCTTCAATATATGTTATTTCCAACCTTCCTATGAGGCAATTACCTACTTCTTCAGATTGAGCTCATTCCTGAGCTTTAGATTACCTCAAATTGTGTATCTTTCAAATTTTATATTCAATTTTGATCTGTGACTGCTTCATCTTGTTGTTTTCATTTTATTTATGATTCTCTTAATCTCTTCATAATTATGATTTAGATATAAAATAAATCCTCTTTGAAAGCTGAACAGGATTGAAAATCAGAGGAGCAATGGCAGAGATATGAGGTTTTAAAGTTGGTTTTTAAAGTTGAAGCGGCTTCTGAATTTTCCATCCTTCAATGAATTAGATTATGAGGTAAGCTTTCTTTATTAATCATCAAAAAACCAACTAATAATCATACTTAATGATGTTTCGAATGATTATGCACGTGATTATATATATTGATATTTTAAAGCGACAAGAATTCTATATGATATTTGGAGCCTAATCAAAATTAAGCACAAAATTGAGCGTAGTGAAGTACAAGTAAAATTAATCCGAGTTAAGCCATGTCGGTGTTCGAATGATGTATTCATGTTGTGTGTACCATGGGAGCACCAGGCAGTTGCTACCCACCTTACCCAAGTTCCACTTCTGACCTTGAATCTGTCCACATCTACCACTTCTCAAGAAACACTTTCTATGGTTATCTGGAAGTAAAAAGTAGCTTGCACTTTATAAATTATATATGTATTAAGTTTTACCTAAATGTTTTTAGCTATATATCCTTGCAAAAGTAGCATCGTGCATAATGGTTTGTATAGTATATTAATCTGGGTAATTCAAAATGTCTTTCTTCCTTACTTTGTCTTTTGTGATTCTTTTGCAGTTTGTATCCAAATATTTGTCAGATCGAGCCTATTCGTTCCCAACCCAAAAAAAAAGAAAAAAATAAAAACTGAGCAATTTTGATAAAGATGTTGCACACTTATTTTCAAATAGCAGTAAAATTTTATGATAATAAAGAAAATAATGTTGTTAGATGTGGGCATGTGTTTGGACCTCTGTGTCTGCACTTGATCAGGTTTGTCATATTTGTATCATACTTGTTATTTCACTAAATTATTTCTTCATTTTCCCCTCTGATTCTGCTGGCAATATAACACATAAATCTTAATCTTACAAGCTGAATCATTTATTGTAGGCTTGTAGCCTTGAACACCTTTATTGTCAATAGTTGTAGAAACATGTGATCAGTTTATTAGGCTAAGAGTAATCATTACTCTTGTATATGATGCTTATCAAGGAAGACCTAATTTATACTCATTTGAACAATTTGAGAGTGATGATATCTTTAATTTCCAAGCCTGAACAATAAAAGTCAGCATGTGATATTTTAAGATGAGATAAGTGAAGCTTTTCATTAGTACTGTAGAATGTAGTTTACTCTCAAATTCTCATAATGGAGAAGCCTTGGCTCCCTTGAGAGTTTACAACTCCCCTATCGTCGACAATTATGGAAAATTGGATGATACTTATGTATGTTAATGTGAGGTTATATATATGGGATTTACATTGTTTGACTCTCCACTTTGTTAAGATTAGCGGTGGCAGTAGTGGTGGTGGATGTTTTGAAGATCAGGTGATTCAAAGGTACGTATTTTCACAACGACCCACCATATTGAACTAATAGCTACAAATATATTATTAGTGAAGCTATAAAAGATTATAAAAGTAACCTTATTGATATTTTAAAGCAAAAGGAATTTTATATGAATTTGGGAACCTAATTTGGTAATTGATTGAGTCAATTTAGAGGGTTCTTTTAAGGTGGATTATTAAACAATCAGTTAAAAGTACTCGTCATGAAAGATTATACGAGTCATTTTCTTGGTACTATAAGCGAGAATAATTTACTATGATTGCAGACCCACAAACCTCGTTTGTTTTCCCCATTTTTTTTTCTTGCCTTGCTTCCATTTTCGCTGATCTGATGGCAGAACTGCTCCCATTGTTGCCAACACCTCTATCGGCTAATGCCACAGCCTATCTGGTTATTGCTTGTGTATGTTAAGCATTTTGGGTTAAATATTGGCATGTATTGCTTGTTGGCTTTTTTACAAAGTACTATATGGTTATTGATTTATTGACTTATACCAGTTCTTTAATTTGCTTTCAGTTTCTGGGTTGTTTAAGATAATGAACTAACTGTTTGTTACATACATTCCCCAATTTCATTACAATTGATCTTTGATTTTTGTCATTTTTCCCCCTTTCTTTCTATTAGTATGCGTTAATCTTTGAAGTTAGATTCTGAAGTTGTGGGATTATTGATTTGATATCTGGGTCATAGTAATTGAGGCTAGACAAAAGGGTGATAAGGAAAATAAATTAAATTAAGAGATGGGATTCATTGTCTTAAACTTCATTAGACACTTTTTTTTGGGTCAATCGTTGCAATTGAGGTGGTTCTTTGAGTAATTGACATTTATTTGATTAATCTCAACATTCAATGCCACAATTTCATTTCCCTCGCCACATTTAAAACATCATTTTCATTTTAATTGGTGGAGAATAGCCTTTTACCATTGCCTTTGCCTTATATTTCTGGGATTTGATTTTTTAAAATCAGTTGTCCATGAGGTATCCCGTTTCCTTCTATTTCAAAGAATTACAGAAACTCTTTCTTGTGGTTTCTCTAAATGAACCTAAAATAAGTAAATTAAGAGGAGGTGTGATTAAATAAAAAGTAGAATATAGAATTTGGAACAAATGTAGCTTCATAGATAGTTCCATTGACTTCAAGTATAAGTGATTCAAAGTGGGGCAGCGTAGATTCATTAGCCAACAACCATGTATATGCATGCATTTCTATTCAGAAAAGAAAGAAATTTAAAAAAATTGTCAGTTTTGAAAATCATATACCTTGAAGATTATCTGCAGTAAGCCAGTACCACATGAATTTGCAAAAAAAGTACATAAAGGACATAATGACGGCAAACTAGGATGTTATGTGAATTAGTAATCTGGCAGCAAGAAACTTATTGAATTGAATGTTGTAGGGGAGGAAATTCATACATCAAATCTTTGTTATGCTCCTTTACTTTTTATAGTTTAAAAATATTTAGCTTATTTTGTGCTATGTTCGCAGTTCACAGTACACTGCTTTAGGTCTCGTGATACCGAATACTTACTGGTTGATTTGGTGTTAGGTTCTAGCCAAGGATGATGAAAATAACGTTTGAGCATTGTACATATGGGGGAAACACAAGAACAGAACTAGGGCAAATAAACAGATTCAGCTAGAGAAGACTTGGTCAAAGCTCGTAAATATGCTCCTGATGACATGGTTTTTGCTTAGCATGAAAATTTTGTAGCTAGAACCAGAAGGGGCATGGCAAAGAAATGCTGGGACAAAGAACTGAACCCAAGAGATCTATTGCAAAATCTTTGAGGCTGCTTGATGTGTTTAGTTTATTGCAAGCTTATTTGTACCTTTTTTAATTTTTTTCTCTATGTAACTAGCAACTTGCTTTTTAAAGACTGCATTTTGTGGTGTTCATTAAATTTACATGTGATGTGTTCTTTATCTTTTGTTTCATTTATCTTCACATTCTGTAAAATTTATTCTTAGAGTGTCTTTGCTAAATTTCCTTAGTATTATTTCAGGAGGTTATGACTTGCTATTGTTATAGTTACAAACTTACAATTTCGCTTGGTAAAGTAGTTTGAAAATCTCCACTCTCCAGTAATGTTTATGCAGGAACTACTTTGATGTTTCTTAGGTGGTATGAATTCCTTGATGCACTTCAGAGATTGAATGCATGATAGTATGGAAGAAAGATATCTAAATAAATTTCATCTAACATAATTTCTAGGAAAAATTGTAAAAAATAATACAAACTTTGAGCGGTCTGCCAAAAACAAGTCAAAGTTTTGATTATTCTAAAAAATACGAACTTTAGGGAGTGTCCGTTTTAAACAAGTTATGATCGGTTGGTGACTTGATTAAAAATACAAACAGGTATTTAAGACACGTGTCATTGTTTAATTGGTTTAACAATTTAATTTTTTTTAAAAAAATTATCTAATGGTTTTTTTTTTTTTTTGGTAAATCAGTGTAAAAGTTTTATAGCTCAAAAAACTTTTTACAACTTGTCCCAAATTGGGAGCAGACTAAAAGGCTACAAGCAGCCTGGGCAAAACAAAGAAAAACTATACAGTAAGTTTTTCTATCCTTTCTCTATCTATCAACTTCGACTTCCTAGAATTTACACCTAGAATCCTATTTTTAACCTCAAACTTTATACACTTTACAACTGTATCTATACAAAGAATTTTCATATCCCAAAAAGCTGCATTCCTAGCTTTCCAGATCTGATATATTACTGCTAAGGCGCATACTGTTAGCAATCTTCTCTGGAACTGAGATTTCTGCTTCTTTATCTGCCTCAAGAGTGTTGACAAGGTGCTTGTGTTACAATCCAGAGTGATCCAGCTCAAGATCTGCATCCATATCTTCTTGCTGTAACTACAGTAAAAAAATAAGTGCCTATGAGTCTCTTCTTTATCTCCACATAACAGACAGTCTGTTAAATTTCCAGCACCAAAACTATGAAGTCTATCTCTTGTCATCAATCTTCCCTGGAGTGCCAACCAAGAGATAAACTTATGTTTCGGCACAGCCCATCTTTCCCAAACAAAACTATCCCATATGCATAAAGGGAAAACAGGCCTTAGAGCCTTGTAGTGCTTACTGATCTTATAATCACCTTGCCCAAATTGACTGTTAGAGTATAAACTCTTTAGCCTCTCTTTTACAGCACAAAGTTTTTTCCAATACCAACTTGCATCAGCTTGTGGCTTGTAATCAAACCGATTCTTCCCCTTCAAGTACACACTATTCACCCATCTAATCCAAAGATTCTCTTTCTTTTGAGCAATAGCCCAAACATGTTTTCCAAGAGCTGCTATGTTCCAGGTTTCAGAATCCTGGATACCTAAACCCCCTGCAACCTTTGTCTTACACACATCATTCCATGCTACATAACAAGCTTTGTAATGCAAACTGCCATTCCAGAGAAAATTTCTGCATATAGCCTTAATTTTGTCAAAGACAGCCTTGGGGAGAATCATAATCCGAGCCCAATACACCTGAATACTCAGGAGAACAGAATTGATTAGAGTTACCCTTGCAGCAAAAGAAAGATTCTTAGAGCTCCAAGTTCTGAATCTAGAGCACATTCTATCAATCAGATGTTCACATTCAACTGCTGAAATCCTTTTAGAGCAAATTGGAACTCCCAAATATCTGAAAGGGAGCCGACCCTTTGAAAAACTAGTGATTTGCAAAATCTCCTGTATAATATCCTCCTGAACACCAGCACAATAAACAGAGGTTTTCTCAGGGCTAGCTTTTAACCCAGTGGCTTTGGAGAAAGCCTGAAAACCTTTCATTAGCAACTTAACAGATTCCACATCCCCTTTGCAACAAAGGATGAGATCATCTGCAAAACAAAGGTGGGTGAGCCCTGCTTCTTTGCATCTAGGATGAAACTTGTAATCAGTTTTGAGACTGATAATTTTCAGAATTCTGGAAAGATACTCAATGCATAACACAAAGAGAAGAGGAGAAAGGGGATCCCCTTGTCTTAAACCTCTTTTAGACTGAAAGTAGCCATGTAAAGAGCCATTTATCATTAGAGAAAATCTAGGAGATCTGACACAAACCATTATCAGCTTTATGAAATGCCCAGGGAAATTCAGCTCTTGCATCATTTCTTCAATAAATTCCCACTCAACAGTATCATAAGCTTTCTTCAAGTCCAACTTAATTAGACAACTAGGACTAGTACCAGAACGTTCGTAATGCCTCACAAGATCTTGACAAACCATAACATTGTGAACTATGTATCTGCTGTGGACAAAAGCACTTTGGTTCTCAGCAATAAGAACAGGTAACACTTGTTTCAATCTTTCACAGAGAACTTTGGAGATACATTTGTAAAGGACATTGCAGCAGGCAATGGGTCTAAATTCAGTCACATTTAGAGGAGATTTGGTCTTAGGAACCAAGGTAATAGAGGTTGAATTTATTTATTTCAACATTCTTCCAGTTTGCAAAAAATTAAGCACAACATTGCTTACTTCCTCCCCTACTGTATTCCAGCTTTTCTTGAAAAAGTTGCTCCCAAAACCATCAGGACCAGGTGCTTTATTATCATCAATATCAAACATTGCTTTCTTTATTTCCTGCATAGTGAAATCTTTAGCCAAAATATGCTGCATGTATTCATCAAGAATAGGACCAGATTTAACAACATGCTTGTGAACATGAGTTCTCTGAGTATCAGATGTACCTAGCAGAGAATCATAATATTCTAAAAAACTTTAGGGACATCATTCATCCCAACTAGAGTACCTTTCATATCTTGTATTGAATACATCTTGTTTTGCATTTGTCTTTTCCTGAGAGCTCTGTGAAACATAACTGTATTTTGATCTCCATCCCTTAGCCAGTCCATTTTAACTTTCTGCCTCAAAAAAGAGAAGTAAGTGTTCTGAGCTTGCAACATTCTCCTCTTAGCAGCAATCTCATTATCCCTAGCCTCTCTATCATCTGGATTTTTGTGAAGATTAACTTGACATTTATCTAGATCATTCTTTGCCAAATTATACTGAATTTCCACATTCTGCACTCCATTCTTGTTCAAAGCGATTAAACTTCTCTTCACTGCTTTCAATTTCTGAACCACACAGTACATGGATGTTCCCTGAATTGGAGTTTTCCAAGCCTGGGAGACTGTATCACCAAAATCATCTCTATTGATCCAAATATTAAAATATCTGAAGGCCATTTGATCATAACTGAGATAATTCTAGGGCAGTGATCAAAATCACCTTCATTCCCAAAAAACATTTCTGCTTGACTAAACATATTATCGCATTTCTCATTAATCAATCCTCTGTCTATTTTTGAGAAGACCCTAGCATCACCACTCTGCTTATTATTCCAGGTGTATTCCCCCATACTTCATATTAAACAAGTCACATTTCTCTATACAGTTTCTAAAATCAGCTATATCACTCCATGACACAACAGCTCCAATCCTCTCATTAGCCTCAAGTACACAATTAAAGTCCTCCAATACAATCCAGGGTTCCTTAATTGAGATACTTAAGTCAATAAAATCCTTCCATAAAGGCACCCTATCAGAGTTAGCATTAAAATCATACACAAAAGTACAATGAAAACTTTCAGTCATGCTTTTAGGCTTGACTATGCAATGAATCAGCTGACTAGTGCACATAAGAATGCTCACATCAAAAGACAGAGGTTTCCATGCCACCAGAATTCTTCCACCTGGGTGCATACTGTTATTACAAGTAAAGTTCCAACCATCAAACACTTTAAGGTAAAGTTTACCCATGTTTTGGGATTTTACCTTAGTTTCGAGGAGGCCAACTAATCCACAATTATTAGCAGAGATAATCTGCCTTATTTTCAATTGTTTGCTTGGAATGTTGGCACCCCTCACATTCCATGCCATGATTCTATCCATGGCTGTCAGAGGGAATTCCACCCTCTGCAGCATGAGCATTATCTAGTACCTCAGAAGGGAGCTCCTGAAGAACAACAAAAGTGTTATGAGTAACAGTAACTTCCATCTGAGTAGATCCTTTCCTAGTAGACCTTAAAACCTGTTGAAAAGGTAAATCCTCAGTATCCACCTTGTCTTGTTTCTTCTCAGTTGTATGTACATGATTACCAGTAACCATAGAAGTCCCCTTCTGCTTCTCTGTTTCCTGAGCGACCCAAGTCTCTTTGTCTGAAACAACATGTTGTTTTCCATGAGCATTTTGCTTCTTTGGCACCCATTTTGTCTTCTTCTTCCCTCGACACTCTACAGCTGTGTGTCCCAGTCTCTTGCAAGTAACACACAAAACAGGTCTCCATTCATAAGTCAAATTAACAGTCACCTTAATGCCCTTCTCATTAATGAAAGTGATTGAATCAGGTAGCTCCTGATCAATACCCACTTCAATCATGACTCTAGCAAAGTGCAACATCTCTCTCCCTGCTGTAGCCTTATCCATCTTTACCCAATTTCCAAGTTTACCAACAATCTTCTTTAGAGATTTTTCCCCCCAATACTTCATATCCAGATTCTTAATCTGAATCCAAATTGGAACAATTTTAAATTCCTCCTGGGAAATCACTAAATCAGCTAACCAAGGTTTCAGAAAGACAGGTTTATTATCAAAAAAGATTTTAAGCCCAGCAACTACTTTATCACGATTCTCCATAGTACTGAATCTAACTATGAATATCCCTTTCTCCTTCAAAGAAACTTTATCAACACCCAGATTCCTCCAGATCCGACGGAAAAAACCCTCCATTACAGTTAATGGTGGATTATCCCCACACAAAAAGCATACAACAGAGGAATTCCAGTAATCAATTTCATCTTGAATATCTTCCAAATCAATTACAATATTAGATTGGTCAGCAATAGAATTTATACCCATATTCCCACTTGTACCATTCACATTATTTGCCCCAAATTCCCCATCAAACGAAATCTGTAAATTCCTAGAAACAGAGTTTACATGCAAAACAGGGGGTTAAAACTTAGGGTTACCTTCCTCCATTGAAACCTTCGAGCTAGCCTTTACTGCACTAAC